TATATATATATATATATATATATATTGCAAAACGTGAACAGGACAGCTTCAGCTAGCCACATTTGCAAGTACTGAATGATCCGAATCGCAAATGATTACTTTCCGTCGAAAATTCGATCAATTAAATGCTCTTTTTTCAATCAATCAAACCTTTCACGAAAAATACTGATCCAGCATGAACTAAAGATTCACTAAACAAACATCTGCAAACGAAGATGTGAGAAGACAGTAATTAGCAACAAATATACGCCGATTCCATAGACAACGAACACATCTGATTAATTAACGCCCAATTTCATTGACCTAATAGATCTGTTTACTTCAACAGTTGGTTTCATTCGTAACGATACAATATTTCGTCGGTCAAAAAATATGATACTGAAGTACTCAATTACCTAATCAATTTTCTCTTCCCTATTGCCCTCTGATCCACGCTAACTGAAATCAGCCTTAAATTTCCTTCGAAGATCGCTTAGATCTTCAACTCATTAAGTAGTGAGCAGTCAAAGATCAATTGCATCGATATGTCATCGCATTAGCAAGAAATTGCGTTCCAATTTTTCCTTCAGCACGCTTTTAGGGCATTTTACATGGAAGAAGACCTAACTGAAGATGTGTACAACTCGATATATGTTGTTTGTGGGAGTGTTTCGATTATATTTCAAATACATACGCAAATTATGCGTCCATTCAACGAACACAAAAACATGTGGCTAGTTTGCATCTCCTTGTGATATTGCTCGTGGAACGATCGCAGGTACTCAGTGTCACGTGAAAACCGGGAAGCAATAATCTTCATTACTTTTTCTCAAACCTTTCCTAAACATTTTGACTGAATCTCAGAAAGTAAGTGAGCGTCAACTGAACTGATGCTGTCATGCACGTGCTCCAAAGTGCCACCGAAAAGTCGCCCTCCCAAAAACTACACAACTTAACTGAAATACGCTCCCATTTCCAACTCCAGTGAGAAGCAACAACACGCGACATCATCGTATGGTATTATAATGATTTAAAGCAAAAGAACTACATTAATTAAGAACCGAACGCATTAAATGTAGAATGATGATATACGAACTTTACACATGAAATTTCGAAACATCTCCTAGCCCCGCATATGATTCTTCATCTCCACTTCATGCAAAATCATTCGGTACTTAATCGACCGTACTCCCCTACCACAAGTGTGATTTAACTAAATACAACGCTCAGTAGTCCTCTCAGCACCTTCTTGTTTTTATCTTGGTTAAAAATGAACTCTTCATCAAATACTAAAGCATTTCATCGACCATCTATCATCAATATCACCTGATTATTCAATGAAAGTAGATGATAAGAGAAGCGCAAGACGGTCGTAATCGATGATCCGTTATTGACTTACTTACTCGCAAGAGAGTGGAATAGAGACGATTTGAAAAAAGTGGTGGTGAAGTGAGATTATAGCGTACGATGGAAGATTGAAATATTTTGAGAATGCGATCATTTTCGTAAGAAACAGAAGGAATCAAGAACAAATTTACGTGAGAAATACGAAATCAAGTGAAGAGACGCAAATAATAGAACAAATGGAAAACGATCCAATTCTTGTCAACAGAAATGACTTCAATTCAACCTACTAATGTGTCAGTAACAGTTCGGAAACAAACAAATTTTGAATGAGATGAAATAAAAGTCAACCAAAATGCACACGCCATTGCCGCCATCATCAAAACAACGTGCACATATCTCGAACTGAAGCGGAAATACGACCAGATTTGCTCACTCATACAAAACTCTATTAATGAACGTATATCGAACATCAAGTTGGCTGTTCGCAAATTCATTAAGCAATGAACATGCTGACATATTGCCCATCACACATCAAATAATACACAACTAATAATAATACAAAATACATGATATTCTTGCTGTATCATCAAAAGTACCATTAACATTATTAATACTATAGTTGCGATTTGGCAACAAGTTCTATTACAGATGCATTTCCGAATACACCAAAATACAAATAAACGATTGCAAAATAACATCAGCAATAATGTTTACAATAAAACGGAATTTTTCTACTCGTAAAACACAAACAACATCAAACTTGTGTTATTCTCATTATTCCCATCTGCATCGCACCTCATCTAAATTCACCGTCCTTCGTTGCTCTTTCAGCACTACAATTTGAAAATCGTTCAAAAGCCAACCGCCACAGACGTACATGAACGCGCGTGCGCACCATGTCGCAATGCTGTACAAAGATGACGATGCGTGCGAGCAATGAAACGGTTGGTTGTGTAATGACAATGGCAGACTGCATAATACTGGATGGTGCTATTGGTTAGAGATACGCAAAGCACAGAACGTCAGGGCGATGAAGAAGAGAGCGACGCAACCAGAAAGAGAATGGAAGTGCTGAGCAATGATCATCGTACATAGTAATCGTAGTAGTAGTAGTATAAGTGGAAAGTTGGTTCATAGAACGAAAGGTTCAATTAAGAACGAGTGCAAACGTCTTTGTTTCTCTGGCTGCATAACGACATACGGCAGTAAGAAAATCATCAAAGAAGTTCTCGTCCGATGTCCATCCGTCCTTCCATCAACTGATATGTATATATGTGCATGCATGATACATCCACCATGCATCTGTCATTGCTGCTTGTGATGTGTCAAACGAGAACTCAACTCAAATCTCGAATTCCGTTACGCATTCATGCTTCACGTTAGCAACTTCAGGGTTATTTCACTCATCAAGTATTACACAAATGGGCAATATGAAAACCACGTACGAGGGTGGTCACCATACAATGCTAACATTGATGTGCACTTTCAGTCTCATCCGTATAAATCACTCTCGACTTTAGGGTCAAATTTACTCTTGGGCTTAGGCTAATGCTTCGTCTTACAGAGGGCTAGAATACACAAATACGTAGTGCCATATCCGGACAGGCCTCACAGGCTGCAGAACGGATGTACAAAGCTTGTGAACTGGTGGGTCATGGTATCAGAAGGGGAATCAGACCGTTCTCACTCAGCGACCACCAGCGGTGTTGGCGAAATGACCGATGAATGATACGAACCGAATTCGAACAATTTTTGGAGTTGATTGTTGGATTAAGAGTTAATTAGGAGATATTGAGATCGTTATGTCAGCTGGCGACTTGGTGTGGACCGAATTTAAGCCCAGCGTGAATTTAAGCCTCAATGTCCGGCTAAGGCTGAACGTGATCGAGGCGTATGTGATAGATGCATCAAAAATTGTTTCCAACCAAAATATCAAACGAATAGAGCCGTTCATTATAACGGTTGTGATACTATAACTTCTAATGCGATCTAGGTAAAGCCTACGAGTTCTGAGTCATATTAAGAAAGTCGTTTTGTTTATTCTACGGTAAGTTGGGAGTAGTGGAACTGCATAGCGTTCATCCGAAACAACCAATCTCCATCTCTTTAACATGATTTTTGTATCTCTGTCACTGAAAAGTCAAACCCGTTCACTGTTGTATCAACATTTATTATCGGCCTACTGGCGCATTATTTCCGACGGCGTAATGATTTAATTTGCCTTCGAAGTCTGAAACGGTGTAGGTGTTGAGCCTCGTCTGAACAAGACGGAACCCAAGGCGGCGACCCCTCGTTGAAGATTGATTTCAGGAGGCGGTATGAACGCTTTTGAGTATTAGGATTATTATAAGGCAGGTGAGTGAGGAAATTGCGGGAAAAAAATCCTTTCGGAGTGTATGAACTGTGATAAAACCATCGTAACACGACTATGGAAGTTGATCTTATCGTTTCATTGACTAAATATGATTAAATGATATCAAATATGTTTCAGTTAATAGAATTCGATTGCATTTTTTCAGTCAAACACAGTTGACATAACAAAAATTTTATTTTCTTGCATGTTTTCCAAAAATGAATGATAAAAATCCGCGTTTTGAATCCCTCCTTCGTACGTGTATTAAATGATCCGCTTCTTTGGTATCACATGCCACTCGCATTACCAGTGGTTTTGGATTAAACTATAATAAGTTCATTTTTCTGAGGAAGCAGGAGAACGTATGAAAATTCCGTCTTCACGGGTTCATTCATATTCCAGTCGATGTGTAGACTTCAGAACCATTAAGAGCGCATATGAATCTCAACAATCGCGTACATCTTTCGAAATCGGAATTCATTAATAAGGAACTAAAAGAGGAATTCGATTCATCCCACAGAAATTCCAAGTTTCCTTCCCAACTTCGGTTCCTCTTAAGAACGAATTACCACACTTACTTTACATACACTGAATTGTCATGCTTTTATGGTGGGTCCTGAATGAATCTGTATACTTTTTCATCTTCTTTGTTCCGCATATTCAAATGAACGATGCAGTCAGTCATTAATGTGCACAGTCATTCAAGATTTGTGGTCAAAAATAACTGTTACTGTTGGGACAACAATGATTTCTTTCACAAAAAAGAAGGCTTCCTAAACAAATAGCAGCTCATATTGCTCCGACGTCAGTGTTGAAAAAAACTTGCATCAAATAATTTAATTGAGTTTGGCTGTTAGAAGTTGTGAAATCGACAACCTGCAATGCATTAGCTGAAGAATTTATACATTTATCTCTTCGAAGAATGCTTCTGATTGGAAATGCTTGACCTGCACGTGCACGGATCCGTGCCATTTCCTGTTGGCCAATTGTTATCGCATCTTGAGCCATTTTTGGTTCACGACCGGCACTTGACGTTAACAGTGCACGCATACTGAAAAAAGCAATCATTTCAAATTGTGCCATCTTCGGATCGTTCCATCTAAACTCAATTATATACTGATGAACTTAAAATTCGAGGACACTCATTTCTGTATTTTTGAGAAGGATGGAACGTACTCTAATGGCGTATACTTATCCACGCTACAGACACTCGCTGTAGTGGATGAAGGATACAGTGGGTGTTGTGAGGTGTGTGAGGACATCTTAAACTTTTGTACAGGGTGCAGGGGGAAAAGGGTTGAGAACCACTGCATTAGTCAGATGTATCATTTAATGCAAATGTATCATATACTGACGAATTTTGGTTATCGCCACAAATTCTTCGTTCAACAACCGTGGATATGTGCGATGAGAAACGTAAACCGTTCAGAATTCGTTCTTTTGCATCATCTTTTGTGTACACCTAAAATGAAGTGATCGTGGATGAATCATCGCAATCAAAACGAAGCATCAGTCACTAAAATTCACTAACTCGATGTCCATCAACATCCACAATTCGGTCACCTTCCTCATAGCGTTTACTTGTCAAACCATCTGATTCACATTTTGTAACGATCACTGTGTTGTGACTCTGCTGGAATGCACTAATGTGAAATTACGTCAAGACTTCAGTCAATAATAACGATTCGTTTCAACTGAATCGATTTTTCCAGAATCGTTGTGAATGAAATTCTTGAATCAGAACGGTGACGTTACTGTGTATAGCGTTTACAGCGTTCATAACTAATAATTTTAATTGAACCTAAATAAATTTGAAAAGCGTTTTTGGTTTCAGTTCAAGATTTGAAAGGTTTTTGAGTAATACAGAGAAAATCAGCGAACATTATCGAATAAATTGGTATGTGAAGACACAGTGGCAGATGGTGATGAAAATTACATCATATTAACTAATAAGGTGGGTGATTGACGATATCTGAAAAAAAGAAATAATTCATGAGAAAACAAACCTTAATAGACATACCGAGCTTGATGCCGGGTATACGATAAACATGTGCTATGAAATACTCACAGTTCCTTTTGGGAGTTAACCCGATCAATCTGGCTCTTTGTTCACTCAGTGGTGAAATTTGTACCTTCCGTTCAAGTTCGATTCGTACTTGAGGAAACAGTCGATTTATTAACTAAAATTCGAAAAGCCAAATTGGAATGCATTTAGGTGAATGACAAGCAAAGATGTGTCTGAAATGCGGATGAAACACAATTCGATGTGATATCCTGAAAATTTTTCACGTTTCACCTGCATAAGTAGGAGTATGAAGTGAATCAATGAGCGCCCGAAAGCGGACTATCTAAGTTCTCTTTTTGCATCCACATTCATAGACGCATCATGTCTGGGCTGTTGGCATTCTGATGCTTCATAAACAAGGTTGTAAGATCGCATCGATATCTAATGCACCTCTTAGGGGAATATAATCTGAGTCAGCACATGCTAGAACAGATGATCCACCGGAAAAACCTCTTCCAAGAATTATTCATCCATTCTTTCTTTTCGAAATGTTCAGAATATCAGGTCGAGATAAAGTCGAATAATTGAATTTCAGTGGAAAAAAAATTACTGCATTGTGTGCCTCTATAATTTTTATTGACTTTTTCTGACCACAATTCTACTCAGTTATCACCGAAGATAACCTTGTGATAACCTCTATTAGACTGAGATTATGTAGAAGAATTCAGTTTCAAGATGAACTGCACCGTTAAGAAAATTTTTCCATGTTAATGCTGATAGCAACCTTAAAAAAATGTTCATCATCCTCGATTTTGATATCATTCACTGAAATAAGCACATCGCCTAGCTGCAGAAAGCCATCAGCTCTCATTTCTTTCTTTACACCTTCTACCATTAAATCTTTGCCCAGTTTTACACCAAACTGAAATGCATTCGATTCAAAAAATATTTCGCATAATGTCATAAAAAGTATTTGCGTAGTGAACTTACGAAATGAACTTATTATTATTATTATTATTATCAAAAATTTTTTAAATCATAAATTTTTTTGTCCGTACATTTTTATCATAAATTTTAACATAAATTTTCTTATTTTGTCCGTTTATTGATGAAAGGATTGATTGATATGCGTTTCAGGTTTTTCCTAGTACTCTCAACGTTAAGCAATAATCATTTCAGCAATGCATCTTTAGTTTTCACAAGAAATGTAACCATCTACAAGTTTCACTGCGCCGATTCCGTGCAAATTCATTCATCTCCACGGGCCGCAAAGTTCATAATACGTATATGTATGTTTCATTAATGGCGTTAATGCGTTGTTCAGTTGGGAATGAAAAAATGTGGAGATACCATCGAAAATCAACGAGCCTGTTCGCCTTCTTCATAGTCAATTTGTACGGTAACTTTGTAAGTTGGTGGCTGAGTTGATACTTCTTCTTCACTTCCTTCCGTCGAATCTTCAGGCATTCTTTATGTGAATAGCAATTGTGCGAATCGATAATCGATTGCGTAAAATGCAAAACGTTAGCGTATTTGACGAAGTTTTGATAAACGAATGATCAACTCGAATCTATGCACAATCAAAATAAGAATTTGTTATCATCAACAAACAACCACCACATAGCAATAAAATAATATCAAATGACTGAAGAAACATTTATTTATCCACAGTAATTGAGGAAATGATCGCATCAATTCACTTATTCACATGGGTTTAATTAATGATTAACATATTGGTGTGATGAATTTCAAAATTTCTGCGATTTTGCCTAGTTCTTCTTGTGTTAATAGCGAGAATAGCATCAGGTTGTAATTGTTTACGGAATTAATTTCAGTAATGCTTTGATACGGATTTCTGTCCACACTTAAGATGCTTTTCAATATTGCAATCTGTGCTATATCTTGCATGCATCAAACATCACAGCGTTACAGTCAGATCGTGGAAATTAAAGTGATGTAAATATCATATTTTTTTGATGTAACCTAAACCAAGAGGAAACTTAGAACACGTAGAGCACCCATCGGCAACCCTACCCGTGGGCCGAAATTGACCCGTCTTCAATAATAATTGGCCCGCCAGATGAAATTGAAAATTTGGTTTTAAAGGAGTAAAAAAGAAATGAAAAAAGGATTGAAATTATTTAGCTACTATAGTGAAAAGTTTCGATATAGAATTTCTCAATACAATGTGTGTGTTCAAAAGATATCAGATTAATAATCAGTTTTTATTTAAAATAAATATAAAACGACAAATTAACATTTTTAAGTAGCAAGGCTATGGTACGAGGCGTCCCATCGCAACAAAAAATGGCAGTTGCGCCCCTGAAAGCAGCATGGGCGCTCGCCGGCACAGCAAAACCCCAATTCAGTAGCCTATAGATGAGGAAAAACATGTTTGGAAAAAAATTAGGAAAAAACATGTTGGACCGCCAGTCAGCTGCTTGAAAAATGTTGGCCCTAGGCAAAACATACTTGAGGATGGCTGCTAAGCTGATGAGTCGACATGGAAACAATTTTGCTTCCTTCCCTGGAAAATGAGCATTTAAATGATCAATTCTTTCCTTTGATAAGCATGATTTTTAACAAGGAATATGAATGTGGTGTTCATTTGAAAGTAGGGTTTTAAAAAGTACTAAATGAGCAATGTCAGCAATATATAGTAGATGACTGTTGTCGGTGTAGGAATGAAACTGAAACTCAGGGCGCTATCAGCTATTAATTCCATATTTTTGGCTCACAAATGCGGCTGATCGCCTTTTGCTTTCCTAATGGATTCCGTTGCAGTTTTTCTTCCGATAAGATAATTTATCGACAATCATCAAACTGGACCCATGACTGCAACCGGAATCTATTAATCGATC